TGCTGCCAGCAGCAGTTGCCACGTGCTGCTCCGTGGTGCCCTAGGCTGGGAGCAAGGAAGTTCCAGGATTTGGAAGGAACTTTGGAAGGTTGGAGCTGGTGCTGTCCCAGCCACCCAGTTACACACGGCTCTGTGCTTGGCAAAAGCAGCTCCTGCAGGGCTGGGACTCCCTGGAGCCAGTGTGCTCCATGCTGGGTGGAGCCTGGCCTTTGGGTGGGTGTGTAGCAAGCTGCCGAGCTAAGTTTAGACTGCTGTGGTCAGTGGGTGCCTCACTAACAATTTTGGTCTGGCAGGGTTCCTTCCCTGGGGCTGGGCTCAGGGCGGATGAAAGGGTTCATCAGCCCTCAGGGAGATCCTGGATTACACTGGGTTTAGGAGGAGTGGTCAGGCTGATTTAAGGGGGGGTGTTATCCACTTTTGTCATCCTCATCTGCCTCGTTCTGTGTCCAGTGTGAACTCCCTGGCCGTGGTTGGGTTTTATCCGAGGCCCTTGCAGGTGGCACCAGCTGGGGACTGACCAGCCTAAACTCTGTGGTTTAGGATTTGCCATGTCAGGGTGGAGGCTGAGCTTTCAGCCAGGGCACCCAAGGACCAAATGTGTCATCAGGTCACTTTAAAGCCAGCACTCCCTGAAGCCTTTTGGATTTGTCTTAAGAGCTGGGTTTAGACTTGGAGTTACCTGCACTTGACATTGTGCACCTTACCCTCTTATCATAACTTCTGACCTTTTCCAGCATCTCCAAGAAGCAATGGGAGAACACAAATCCGACAATAAACACCCCAACACAAGATCCTGAGGTTGTAATGGAGTTTTTTAGCTTAGTTCTTGGGGGAAAAAAAAAAAAAAAAATGTTTGTGTGCTTAGTACTCTGTTCTTCAAATAGAGCCTGGACCTAATTTTGACTATAGAAACTGCATTTTCTGGCTTGGTGTGAATAGGCAGCTTCACGAAGAAGAGAGACTTTTAGTTAGAGCTGCACTGAGGACAGAGCTCAGTGCTCTGGGATGTTTGTTGCTGAACAATGTCCCTGAAATGGAGGTTAATCTTCCAGGGGGTCTTTTTTGCTTCTCCCTGGAGATAACTCACTGAGAATCCTCGAGGCAGCAGTGATGACAGCAGGAGGAGTTATTGCCACAAGCAGGGTGACATCATTTCACCCCATGGCCTTAGATAAGTTAAGTACTATTCCTTAATCAGGCTCTGATAAGCTGAGTAGCTTATAAACATTGAAAAAATGCAATACTCAAGTCTTCCCAGCATGAAGTTTTTTGCACAAGTAAATTTTAGTTTTTCAGAGAAGAAGAAAGTCTTTACCTAGAGAATATTTTTTTCTTCTTCTATCTTAAGTTTGATGCCAGAAATTTTGGCTTGTGGTGCGTGAGGCTGAGCCCTGCAGGAGCTGCCAGTCCTGCCTGCATGGGATGGCTGCATGGCTACTTCCACCTCCTGGAGAAGACAATGCATGAGGATTCTGGATTTTATGGATTTTCTTGGATTCTTTAACTTGATTTCTTCTGGTTTTCTTTGTTTCCTTCCTGCTCTGGAATATGTATGGTGAAGAGATTTTGTCCTTTTCATCCTACTCCCTCCATTTCTTGTTAATATTTTCTGAGGGTTTTTTCTCCCTTATGTTCCTTTTAAAAAATCTAATTTGACACCCATAGATGAAAAGGCTGCTCACACAGTTTTTTCAGTGGGGGATATAGGAAAAATGAGGACACACACAGTGTGGGGCTGTGTCAGGAAATGCGTGCAGTGCCATACAAGTATGACCTTATTACATGTACTTGTAGGTAACCCAGCACAGGAGGGTGAGGGTTCTGCAGCAGCACAAAATACAGGGCTGCACTGTGCTTTGATCACTCCATCAATAGTGATTTTGTTCTGCTAAGACATCAGTGTAAACATTGCTATGTATTTTTCCTCTAAGTGCAATGATTGTGATCTGATCTCTACTTCTAAATCTACAACAGTTTTAAAAAAATTTACTGCACTTGTAGACTGATTTTCCAGTTTTTCCAGTAGTTCTCTCCTTGCTCTTACAAAAAAAAAAAAAAAAAAAAGGGCTACAAAAGGCATGAGAGGCAGGGACAGACAAACTGCTGAATAAGTTTGTGAGACTGGGACTGTTGCTGCTGTTAATTCTCAGCACTGCTTTCCCTTCCCACAGGAGTAGGTGAGGACACAAGTTTGTGGGACTGGGACTGTTGCTGCTGTTAATTCTCAGCACTGCTTTCCCTTCCCACAGGAGTAGGTGAGGACACACAGGAGCACACGGGTACTGTAAGTCAGTGACCCTTGGTGTGCAGCTCCTTGGTGAAAGAATGAGTATTCCCTTGTGGGAATACCTGGGGAGATGATTCCCCCCTCTCCCTCTAGATGCCAGCAGAGCACTGGCCCTGCTGCGAGGCACTGCCTCCTGGGTGTGTTTCAGAAGAACGGTGTTAATTTGAATGCTGCTTGATTACTTTTTAGAGAGGTTGGGATTAACGGATTGTCTGTTCAGAACAAACTCTGCATCCTTTGGAGAGCTGATGAAAAGGAAAAGCACCGGAGTTTAAACATGTTGTTTTATGAATCTGTTTCTGCAAATACAAAACATGTTCTCACCTGTGATGTATCTCTCTGTGTTTCACAGGTAAAGAACAAATCAGAGGCTTCTGGCAAGCAACATCCTTGTTTGTAACTCCACACAAACCTGTTGTTCCCCAGAGATCCCTGGGGAGGAGCATAGCTGTTCCTGGGCCATGCTTGCTGGTGGAGCATCGTGGCTGAACTTGTGCATCCTTCCAGGACCAGGCTGATGGAGCCTGGGATGTGGTGTGAGCTCCCTGCCTTGGGCTGTGTCACCTCCCAGCCGGCCCGTTTAATGCCTGTCACCCCTCTGGCCTGGGACAATTGAAAAGTGGGATCCCTTCTGGTCCTGATATGGATCAGGCTGAAGCACCTCGTCCTGCTGCTCTGGGCTTTCCCACATGCCTGCTTACAGGCTCTCAGGGACTGCTTCTCTAATGGCATTTGTCGCACCAAAAGCAAGGTGTCCCTCACAGCCAGCAAGAGTTCTGGCCCTTAAAGAGCCTTTTTTGCCTGTATGGAGTGCATCTTGCTTCTCTAATGGCATTTGTTGCACCAAAAGCAAGGTGTCCCTCCCTGCTCCCTCACAGCCAGCAAGAGTTCTGGCCCTTAAAGAGCCTTTTTTGCCTGTATGGAGTGCATCAGCTCCAGTTCCCAGAGTGTTTCTGCTGGGAAAGACTGTGAGACTCAGTGACTGATTTGCAAGTGCTGTTAGAGATGGAGCATCGTGCACTTCTGCTGTGACACAGGACACTTGGCTGTTGTGGACTTTCTTTGCTTGGACTTGGTTTTTGGAAAGAAGACTACACAAGTGAATGGAGAGAGATCTTGATAAGACTTTTCTGACAAAGAAAAGACACAGAAAAAGCTACACAAGCTGTTCAAAAACTATTTCGATGCTCTCTGCACTTGCCCCAAGTGATCTTCCTCTCAGAGAAACAGAACAAGTGGAACTGCGCAACAGTAAGTGAAGTTTCAGCTATATTTTTTATATATTGGCTTTTGATAGCTATTAAAAATTGTTTCAGAGATGTTTGGGTATTCCAGTCACGCTGCCAAAGGTTGATGTCTTGAAGCTGGCAGTACAAAGAGGATTTGTTGTTGGGTGCAATCAGGAAAAGGGGGAGGAACGAGCGGGCGGAGCAAAGCTGGGAGCTCCCTAACGCGGCTTTATCGGGAGTTTCCGAGCAGCCCCCGGGTTGTTTTGCTCCCCTCACTGCCTCAGTCCCGAGCTGCTCTCTGAGAGCTCCCTCCACTCTAACTAAGCAAAGAGCTCAGTTGGTCATCACTAAAACGAGTCCTGGTGAAAATACAAAGTGGTAGTAGCAAAAAAATAAAAATAAAAATCTGCATTTGAAGAACTGATACTTCTCACAGGTGTTGATAAATACAAATGCCATGTTTTTAACCCTGCTGTTACATCTCATACATTTCCCCTTCCACTTGTGGAAGGGTTGAGTTAGTGGGCAAGAGAGAGGCACTGCCCCTGGCTGAGCATCTGTGCTTCTGGATGGTTCATCAGCTCGGATGGAATGGGGCTGTTTAAACTGGAACCAGTGTGGATTGTGGGAGCAGGGCTTGTATATTTGTGTGGCTCCCAGAAAGGGCCCTTTAAAAGAATGGGAGGGTCTGATGTGTTCCCTTGGCTGTGAAATTCAGGAGGGGCTGGCTGGAGGAATCAATTGTGCTGAACTTCCTAGTTTATCAGTGATTATGAGCTGCAGTGTGCTACAGGGTGGTGAGATATGTCCTCCCAATACCTCACTTTAAATTATGTCCTCTTGCTTTGGACTGATTCATATTTAAGTTGAAGCAATCTTTATTTTTCAGTTGCAGTATCTTTTTTTCCTGCCCTTCTCTGGAGCTAATCTTTGAGACAATATAAATTGCTATTCACAAATCTCTTCTTTTGCTTTGTTTCTGGTAAAACCAAACATCCCTGCCGAGGTCTCCTAGAGCTATGCTATATAAACACAAGGGGATGGATGATCTCTGCCCCAGTTTGGGATAATGAGTCCTTTGGCTCACTGGCTGACTTCAAATGACAATCACATGTACCTGTTCACTAAATCCCTGAGAAAACACAGGAAAAGCCAGGCCAGAAATAAGTATAAAAACCTAGGTTCAAACAGAAAACTCTGAACTACCAGAATGTGAAAATAAGAGATTTTCAAAGTGAGAGGTCACACCATCCTGTCTTCTTCATTTGCATTTCACTTCTATTATGATTTTGAGTCATGGGGCTCAGCCAAACTCGGGACACACATGGCAGGAATCTGTCTGTCCAGTGATGGGGTCATTCCCAGTGCAGTCCTGGGGAGAGGACACATTCCCAGGAAAGGACTGCAAGTGGTGACAAGGAGCAAGCCTCCTTCTGCCACATACAAAATGAAAGCTCTTGGGACATCAGAGAACACAAACCTAACATGATAAAAACGTTTCTTTACTACATGTTGAAAGTTCATTTCAAAACAACAAATGGAGTTAATTTTTCAGGCTAAACATTGTGGATGGTAAAGACAACACCAAGATCCATGTCTTTAATAAAAAACCAGAACGTAGCTCTGTGGCTTTTATTTCAGTAATACTGAAAGCATTAAAAACCCCAAGAGAATGGAACAGAGACTCTTTCACACACTACAGCACCTTCCCCTCAGAGTTCAGGGGGTTTTATGCACTGAGTCTGTACAGCAGCAGAAACAGGCAGCTCCTGGAACTGAAGCCTATGGGGAAACATCACATTGGGACACCTCTTTGGATTCCAATGGCAAGCTCAAAGTTGGGATTGTCAGCATTTCTTACTATTATTGTACAGAAATTGGCACCCAAGAGTTCACTTGAAAGGTGTCTGCGGAACTGTCTGCTAGTGCAGGGGATTTGGGTTTTTCAGGCCTCAGCAGCACGTGCATTAAATTGCTTCATTACTTGGCTTTTTGCCTCTGTATGAGGTAAATCATCAGCTGCTAAATCTGTAGATGGGACGGAACATCCTCTCTGCTTAAAATCCACTGGGAATCAAATGTTAACGTGCTCCCCTCCCCGCTTCTGTGTGTCACTGCTGTACTGCAACCCCCCACTGCCTGTGAGCTTGTTTTGGGGAAGCACTTGGGAGGCTCACTTGTGGACAGCCTCATAAAAAGTCAGAACAAACAATTACCCCTGCCCTAAGGATCCTGCACAATCTGTGACTATAATTAAATTTCATGTTTCTTTTCCCTGAACTGAAGTTAGGTTGATCATCTGCATCCACTGCATTTACTTAGAGGAGTTAGATCTGCACAGCACCTTGTCACTGAGCCCACTCACTCCTTTCAGCTGTACTCTATGGATAATACCTTTAAAAAATGGAACCCCCAGCTTTGCTCTGTGAATAAAAGCAGAGTACATCTTGCTAAGCTTAATGCACCTTGGATTGCAGCTCCCATCTGACTGTGATCATGGGAGGTACTGGAGGCAGACAGCTGGCCAGGCAGCCTCTCACTGTGTGAAATTTATGCTACTCTATTTGTAGGTGATTACAAAAACAGCTTTTCAAGGTTAGTGTCCAGGCTTGCTGCTGCTTAGCACAGGAACAGGAGTCCAAAGACTTTTTCTGGTTGACTACCTTCATTATTAGTTTTTCTCTTTTTTTTTTTGTAGTTTTCTCTCCCTTAGAAACATCAGGGTTATGGAATCTGATGGTTCACAGTTTTGCTGAAGGACACTTTCAGAGTCTCACAAAAACACACCAAGGTGATGGAGATAGTGAACTTTGAATGCGTAGAACAATCACCCAGAGCTAATTAGTGGTTTGTAGTTTTAAGGGATAATCAAATGCTGGGTTCTTGTAGGAGACTAAGTGTGTGCCATACTGCTCACTCTGAGGCTTTTTACATGCCTTACACAGACATACAGACAAAATAATTGTGGTAATGAGAAAGAGTCCACTTGCTGCAGACAGACCAGCAAAAACATACTTGTAGCTGGGCTTTGTTGTAAAGCTGGTGCACGAATTACCTGGAATTTCCTGGCCTGTTGTCTGGCTTGACCCTGCTTTGTTGGAGGCAGTCACACAGATATGGTAAGTGGTGAATGGCAGCAGGTTGTACAGAGTGTACTGCCTGGCCGTGGGGTAGATGTTGTCCATGACAAAGTGCCTGTCCTCGTTGTCTTGGGCACGAAGCATCAGCTCATAGCTGTGAACAACTGAGTATGGGGCACACCAGCGTATCTGTGCAGAGCTGTCAGTGATTTCAATCACCTCTCTGAGCCTGGGTGGGTCTGGAATCTCATCTTCCCTCGATGTGCCAGGGCATGAACACTGGGATATGTTCTGGAGTTCCCTGCACGGCTTCTGCAGGTGCCTGCAGGGATTGTAGTCACAGGCGACCTGGGCCGTTTGCACCGGGGCTCCCTCCTTCGGGTGTTCTTCGTAGTCGTAGTCATCCGTGTAGTGTGGTGATGGTGTGCTGGGCACAGGCTCTGAGTGGGCACTGCTCCTTGTGGAGCCCAGCTGTGGGGGGCTCGTTCTGGGGGCACCTTCCCTGGCATGGGTGGCAACGGAGTGAGTGTGGTGGTTGGTGGTGTGGGGGACTCCTGTTCCTCTGGTGGAATAATCACTGGTGGTCTGGTTTAATGGCCCTTCCCGGGGCAATGTCGTGCTGGTTGTTCTGAGCCCTCTCTGTAGCTGTTCTGTTCCAGCTGGACTTGTGGAGCTGTGGTCTGGGGACTGAGCAAAGAGCTCTTGGAGAAAAACTGGGAAGGAGGTTACAGATGCCAAGGAAGGGGGACTGCTTGTGGATTCAGTAACTGCCTCTTCCTCATGGGAGGAACTGTTGGCATTTGTTAGGATGGGCTCCGTTGGGTTGGATGCTGCCGTGCTCCTTGCATCCCTCTGGATTAGGGAGCTGGTATAGGTGTCTTTGGTTAGCATTGGATGGGATGTTGCTGTGCTCCTTGCATCCCTGTGGATCAGGGAGCTGGTATAGGTTTCTTTAGTTGGCATTGAGTTGGATGTTGCCGTGCTCATCACATCCCTGTGGATTAGGGAGCTGGTATAGGTGTCTTTAGTTGGCATTGAGTTGGATGCTGCTGTGCTCATCACATCCCTGTGGATTAGGGAGTTGGTATAGGTTTCTTTAGTTGGCATTGAGTTGGATGTTGCCGTGCTCATCACATCCCTGTGGATTAGGGAGCTGGTATAGGTGTCTTTAGTTGGCATTGAGTTGGATGCTGCTGTGCTCATCACATCCCTGTGGATTAGGGAGTTGGTATAGGTTTCTTTAGTTGGCATTGAGTTGGATGTTGCCGTGCTCATCACATCCCTGTGGATTAGGGAGCTGGTATGGGTGCCTTTGGTTAGCGTTGGCTTGGATGATGCAGTGCTCCTTGCATCCCTCTGGATTAGGGAGCTGGTGTGAGTCACATCTGTGGTCAGCAGAGCTGAGTCTGTTGCTACAGCAGAGGCATCATCACTGGTGAAGTTGAAAGCACCACGATGGGGAAGGGCTGTGTTTGAGTCGGGCTGTGTAATGTTGCTCTCTGACTGGCATTTATCGTACAGCTCCAGCAGTGAAAAAGATGTCGAAGGTCTGCCTGGATCTTCCTGGGTTGTGCAAAAAGTCTCCCAAGCCCTGCAGAGGGAAAACAGAATCGTCAAGATCTAGAAGAACATTGCAGGTTTCTGTAGGCTGCCTGGATTGGAATTGGTGACCTGGTGTCAAAACATCTTTATGTTAGTGAGAATGTGAAACCTAGACCAAAGCTAGATTGCCTTAACAGTCCAGGCAGCTTTCCACAGCACTGACTGTGGAATTTAGCTTTTAGTTTGGGCTCTTTAGATTTGTAAGGTGCAGGGATATCTTATGCCCGAGGGGAAGTGTCCTTTGATACAACAAAGGCTGTGAACTTAAACAAAGGGCATCGGGATTCAGCTTGTCTTAGAGGGTCAGACTTGACTGCAGCAGTAACAGGGGAACACATGCAGCCAGCTGGAACAGGATTCCCCGGATTCTTAATCCATCTGCTTTAGGCAGCTGGAGGTGGGCTGACCCGGGACTTTTAAATGACTAAGATCGAATTCTTTATTTACTCAAGACACTGAAATTCTGGTAAAGAATGCAACTGCTAAACCAATCCCGATGAAAAACTGTGTAATTTCAACAATCTACTTCCCTGCTCTCTGCGAGATTTGATGACAAATCTTCTTGGTGGCCTTTGAAAAGAAAGAGAGACCATTTATATACAAATATTTCCTTTAACTGCAGCTTACTGTAATTAGTTTGTAAAACTGTAGGGGAGCATGAAAACAATAGGTGAGAAATGGTGCTATTTGCGAGGGGGTTTGTCCACTGCCGGTGGTGATGTAAGCTTTGCAAGTTGCAGGGTGAGGAGAAAATAATTTGTTAAAGATCTTTCAAAGTTTCCCAGTTGCTGTTCCTGGCGCTGGCACATCAAGACAGCTCATTTTCTATCTTCAGCTAATATGGAAATATATGAAATATGGTCCAAAACAGTAAGAAAGTATTCTCACCTTAAAGCAGAATCTACAGCTAATAACACTTTGTGCTTTGTCCCTGAAAGGGACATTATTTTGCACTTCTACCTCTTGTGGAAGGGAAGAACACACAAGGAATTTGAATAACTCAGTGAATGGTGGTGAATGTCTGGTCCCCAGACAAGTTGCACACTGAAGTGTCTGAAGAGCATGGTTTGATCTCTTGAGCTCACTTACTTTTGCAGAACGACTTTCTCGGGCTTGGACAGCAGCCAGGAGAGCTGGCAGCTGCACAGCAGAGGATTCCCGTACAAGCTGATGGTGATGCCATCCGATGAACTGGTGTTCCAAGGATTAAAGGAACTCAGGTTACAGCTACAAGAAGACAAATGCAATAATTAAAAAACTGAGCTACCTTCCAACGACTGGAGTGTGCTTAGTATCCCTTACCTGTAGTGTGTGTAGGGCACAAAGCAATATTCCCAGGTCCTGTGGCAGTAACCAGTTAGTAAACCCACCATCCTGCACTCTGCATGCTCAGAGGATGCTCTCTTCTTTCTAGGACTTGAATTCCTTAAAGTTTGGGCATGATTTGGAGCACTTTGAACTGGTATTTCTGCAAGTGTTGGAAAGTGCTGTGTATATTCAGTAGGGCAATCAAGGGGGATGGAATCCATAGGATTTTTGCTTTGTATGGGTTTATTTTCCTGAAACTGGTTTCTAGGTACAGCCAGTGCTCTAGTGTTTGTTTTCTGATATGCTTATATCTGGGTGGCTATTATAAAAATGTTTCAAAGTGCTCTCCAGATTTTTTCCTTTATGCTGACTCCTCTGTGTGCACTTCACCTGCTCTTATTTTGATAAATCAGTTTCACACTTTTGTCCCTCTTAGTATTTCAGGTATGTGATGTGCCAAGAGGTGCTACCCCTAGAATGAGGACTATAACATTGCTTTTAATAATGATGAACAAGGAACTATATTAAACTCTCACACTAAAAGTGGAAAGGACAGGATTTTTGTCTGCTTCAGAGATGCAGGTTTTGGGGAACTGTCAGCACTCATCCCTGCAGAGCAGGGAACCCTCAGAGACCTGCTTCTCCTCAGGTGGGATATTGCCCTTGGAAGCCTGGTCTTGATCACAAGCTGGGTTCAGTGGATCTGTGCTGATCTAAACAGCGCTGGGTGAATTCATCCATGGGACATGGAGATAAGGCAGAGGAGTGGGAACACAATGGATGCAACCTCAGGCAAACAATTAATTGTGCTATGAGTCCCTTGCTGCTTCTTTGGGCTGTATCAGCTCTATCAGACCAGGTCACAGATTTTACATAGCAAGGACAGCAAGACCACACCTCCTTCCTAAATCAGATAAGAAACTGTTCAATTCAGCTCCCAGGCACCACAGGCTGTGAGGCAAAGGTGGCATTATGTGAGGAAGGACAAAAAAACCCAACTCACTTCTCAAATGAGAGATGGCTCAGATGAGGAGCACTGTCAAACATCTCTGTCTGCACGAACCCCAGGGAATGGGAGTCCTGACAGTGCAGCTCTCGGAGAGCAGGCAGAGACTCGAAGAAGTTGCTGTGGAGGCTTCTTAACCGTGGCATGTTTGTCAGGTGAAGTGAACTGAGGTTGGCCAAATCTCTGGCCCACTCTGGTTGAACTGAAACAGAAAAATATTTACACCCATTACCTGAAAGAAATCCCGTGGATTTCTGCCTAGAAAAAGGGTTTGAATTCCTAGATATAAAGTATCTTCTTTATGTTATAGATATAAAGTATACCTTCTGCAGTTATTCTCTTTGGGAAGGGAACAGAACAAAAGTCAATACATCAGCATGTAAACACTCATGCAGCTGCATTTTTGTAATAGTCCTCGCAGGTCAGGCTGTCAGAGGGCAGGGGAAAAGAGGGGAAAAGAGGACAACAAAGCTGATAAGAGATATGGAGTAGATTTCTTGTTGGGTGAGATTAAATGAACAAGGATTTCTCTGCTCAGGAAAGTGGTCTACAAGGTCCTGACTGGCGCAAGAAAGGCAAATCACTTCTTTCTCCTAGCACGGGGAGAAAGAACCAAGAGGCATGAAACTGAAATAATAGGACTTGTACAAAAAGGGCCTTTCTGTCCCATGACTCAATAGGGTAACTCACTACCACAAGACGGATTAGGCAAATTTATGGAGGAAATTTGGTGGTGCAGCTGTTTAATCTGAGTTGAACTGAAGCCTCCAGCTTGAGGAGGCCCTGGCCTTGCCCCAGGCTGAGAGCAGCTGGGCAAGGCATCTCACATCTGTGTGTCCCAGCACCTCAGGTATAAACTGAGGCTGGCAGGGGAGGCCGGCAAGAGGGAAACAGCCTCTTGTGCATGGCTTGGGGCAGGGATTGTCTCCTCCCTCAGTATTCGGCGGCCGGGGATGGCACAAAAAGCCTCTCTCTGTGCTACTTCAGTGCAGCTCTAAAAGCTGAGTGTAGCTGTGGGGACAAAGAAAGATTTCAACAGTCTGTCTGGAAAGAGAAACTAATTTCCTCCTGTGCTTCCCAAAACTAATCCCCGGGCTGACAGGGAGATGACTGTCAGTAGCAGACAGTGGGATTAGGATGGAGGTGGGTGACTACACTGGGACTACACGTCCTGTCTCATGGTGTTTGGTCTCTGCCCTTCCTCTGGGAGGCTGCTTTTCGTGAGAGTGCCTTGCACGCCTGGACCAGCTGTTTGCAGCTTTCAGTGTGGGGTGTTCCCCCTGCACTCCAGGCTCAGCCAGCATGGCAGCCATCGTCCCAGCAAGGCATCTGTTCCCCCGGTCTGACCAAGCCCTGTCTTTACAGTGGGAAATCCAGAAACTTACTTTTCTCAAAAAAGGTCCCGCTCAGATCAAGCACATTGATGGAGCTTCCAGGCCTGTCCATGGCCTCGTTGGGATCTGTGCTGATGGCAAAAGCAGAGTCCCTAATTCCTCTGCTGTCATCCTGCCCGAGCAGTGTTGCAGAGAGGTTCAGGACATGCAGCTGAGGGTAGCAGGAAAAAGCCAGGGGCTGGATTTCAATCAGGGGATTTCCAGCCAAGGACAGCCACCTGAGGTTAGGCAGGGCAGAGCCGTGGCAGGATGGCACAGATGACAGCTTATTAAAGCTCAGGTCCAGTTTGAGGAGACTGCTGAGGGCTGCAGATCCCCACCTCACTGACCAGAGGTGGTTGTGCCTCAGCGAGAGCACACGCAGCTGTGGGAGGTTCGCTATCTCTGTGCCATTCACCTCTTCCAAGAGGTTATTGCTGAGATCCAGGGTCTGCAGGGCCTCCGGGAGGCAGACTGGGAAAGCTGTCAGGCTGCTGTTGGTCAGCTGCAGGGTGATCCAGGTCCTGTTCCTCTGATCCTCACAGGACATGCTGGTGAGATTAACATTCTCCCAAGAGTCCTCCTGAGCCAGCTGGAAAAAGGTGGTGACATCCCTGGATGCTGCTCTGCTCACCGGGCCATGTGCTGTGGTCCCCAGCAGCAGAGGGAGGATGAGCAAGGGTGACAACATCCTTCTCAGAGGTGCTCGTAGTTTGCAAGATCTGTTTCCTTTGTGTATCAGGGAGGGGAAAACAAAACAACATTTAGAGCTAAATTAAAATCCCTCCAGTCATCTAAAAACTATTTAAAAGATAAACAGTTTATAAGCCCTTTCCTATTATTTCCAGATAGTGATAAGTGATAATTAATAGCTCTTCTGTAATTAAGCCTAAGTAAACATGAATCCTTGGGGACAGAAGTATCATGCAGTCTTAGACTAAGTGTGCCTACAGTCGTTCATGCAGCAAGCATGAACAAAGTTGTGTCCCACACCAGGACCCTCAGGGCCAGCAGGTTGTCCTGCAGTGTCCAGTTTGGCCAGCCCAGTGGGAAGAGTTTTCCAAACAACCGGGTCCAGTGTACCTGTGGCAGGGGACTGTTTTCTGTGAGGTTGTGTAAAGCAAATTAAGAGATCCGAGGACAGAGGAGAGTTGCCAAACTTTACAGCTCAGGACCTCAAACTGGACGGAGTTGTGTTGGAATGGGCAGGGGAAAGTGCCTTTCCTAGGAAAGACTTTCCTTTCCTTAGCAGGAGCTGGAACAGAAAAACCAGGGACTTGTGTGGGCTCCTCCAGGGCAATTCTGTCCCATTCTGAGGACAGTCCCAGTGGGGACCCCACAGGGGGTTTTGGGCTCCTGAGCAACTGGCAGTGCCCCCAGCCTGTGTGCCAGGCACAGGGGCTGGGCCCTGCTTCACATGAGAGCCACAGACAGGCTCTGCACGGCCCAGCCGCTGGGAAAGGATGCACTGAAAATGCAGCTCCCGAACCACATTTCAGTGGAAGTGGTCAGAAAGAAACTGAGTATGCTCCTGGATCGGGGCCCCAAAGGCCTGAGAGCCAAGAAACATGTTATTTAGTGCTACAGCTCCGCCGTGCTCCCTCCTCCTCCCGCCCCTGCTCTGGTCTTTGTAAAAAAAAAGTCCTTAGTGACTTATGCGAAGTCCCCACAGGTAAGGTGTGTCAGAGGAAAGGATTAACCCCAGCCCCAAACTCGTGCTTTTCTTGTTGAGCTGTCTTTTGTGCTTCCCAGCAACAAAATTATGATTCCTCGCCCAGAAATATATTACAGTGTAGGGTGGTAAAGGAAGCCCCACATCTTATGGAATATCTCAGACTTATTCCAAAGTTTAATTGCTCCTTGCTCTTCCCTGAATGACGCCAGGTCTTGCCCAGACCGTTATCCTTTGCTGCCGCCCTAGGTTTGAAGTAGGGACCAGCAAAATAGTATACACCGGAGCACCAAAATAATGTGTTGTGTTTGCCTGAGTCCTGTTCGTCAGGCGGAACCGTGCAAGATCCGAGCAGCCCCAGGGCTTCCCGGTCACCGGACCCGCTGGATCTCCCGCTCCGCAGCACATTGGCAGGGAGAGGATGGGAAGAATTGGGCTGCTGTATTCCAATCTTAGATTTAATCTTAATCTTTGCCTCTAAACCGCATCCGCTTGCACGTACCTGTCCAAAAGTGCCGGTGCCTCGTGCCTGCGCTCGGAGCGGCTCCGGCTGCTCGGCCTTGGTTTTATACGCTCGGGGTGACTCAGCCGGCGTGTGCTGCCTCTCTCTGTTCCCAGCTTTCCCTGCTCCCGGCTCTGCCCACAAGCTCAGGCGAGGTTTGTTCCAGGCTCGCTCCCCCGCGTGCAGCTTTGAGAGGGGGCGGCTCCGGGCAGCTTTCCCCGCTCCTTGGCCCTAGCAGGAGGTGGGTGGGAGGGCTCTTATTTCCCAACACTCGGGCAGGGCTGCTCCTGTCTGTCTTTGTCTAAGCAGAGGGGGGTAAGGGGAAAAGATCAGTGTCAATAGTCCCGACTCTCACGTCTTCCACCAACGGGGGGAGGGAGAGGAATTGTTGTGCTCCTTTGTTGGCAGGTCAGGATGATGTAAAGCTGAGGCTCTGCCTGCTGACATGAGCTTTGGTCTCTCTTTAGGCGCCAATGAGGGGCTTCAAGTGTTTAAATTTCTAAGACTCTTGCTCTTGAGGAGTAAATCCTGCGAAAGTTCACGCAGGACAAATTACTTTTTTAAGGAGGCCCTTAGGATATGTCAGAAGTGAACTCTCACCTGCTCCTCTCGCAGAGAGGAATTCTCTCTGCCGGTGGAGAGGGCAGGGCGTAGGGCATCTCACTGCCCGTGCGACGGCCTTTGGGAGGCCTCTGCTGGCCCCGCTGTGCGTGGGCTGTGTTCTCCGTTTGCATCTGTGTACCACATGGCTTGGGACAGTTCCCTTCCTGCTACTTCTCTCATCATTGCTGGATAAGTTAAACTGACAACATAAACCATCTCCCACTGAGGGACCTGCCCCGAGCTGGGTTTTTCAGCATTCCCACAATTCAAACAGTAATTAGGTCGAGAGCAGAGAATAAAGTCAGGGAAACAGAAAGGGATGAGTTGATGGAGATTGTTCCAAAGTAAAAGAAAAAGAGTGGTTCTGTTGCTACTGTAGGACAACTAATTGTTAAAATTTCCAAGGAGAACAGTAGTCAGTGCTTTTCCTTTATCGGGGCAACAAAACAGATCCCTGACATGAAGGCAACACCGACCTGTAAACTTCGGTGCTAAAGTGCAGATAAAGGTCTTGCTTGCCCGAAAGCGTTGAGTCTGCAAGTACACATTAGGGAAACCTTATCTACTGACCGTGTGGGCCACTGTGTGCGTGGGGAGAGAGCCTTGAAAAACACCAGAACATCCACAGAACAGAGATAGGGGCTTCCAGTAGGACTCCCTGGAGCCACTGCCGTTCCCTTGGAGGCTGGCCGAGGCGCACACGTTGTTCCCCTGCGGAATGGCTCTAGGGCAAGACAGATGTTTTCCTAAATGAGGGGCTAATCCCGCACTGACCCGGGGCAGGCGGAGCGGGGCGGCCCGGCCCGGCACGTGCGCGCCCGCAGGTACCTGCAGGGCTCTGCTCTCGGTTCAAAGGGCAAACTGGGGCAGGTCCCAAAAATCTGAGGAATTCGGGATAAGGGGTGGAAACCCTGCCTTCCCTCAGCGCCGGCGCTCCTCTTTGGGAAGCTTTGCCTGGCTTTGTCCTGGGCTATTAAATACTCGTGTTTGCTGCCCTTAGCTCAGTATTTACAGACTGTGAATTTTCATTGCTTGTTTTAGGGTTGTTATCATATTGATTTTAATATCTTGCAAAAAATACTCCAGGAAACTCTGTGAGCCAAAAGCTGCCTTGGTTTTAATGAGTTCATCCTTACTGATTTAATTTTGGCGACTGAGTCGAGCAGACTGTCAGACTGGGAAAGTGGCTGCTCCTCTTTGGGAAGGTGGAAGGGAGGTGGAGGTTTTCTTTGCCCAGAGGCCCTTGATTTCTGAGTGATACAGGGAACCTGTTGCAAGAGGCAGAGCGCCCTCGGCAAATGAACTTTGGTTATTTTTATTTTCCATCTTTGTGTCTGCTTTTTTTGTTGGCCAGTTTTTGTGGCAGGTATTGTATTTTCCCATTGTATTACATGGTATTTCTTTGCTTAGCTGCAAATTCATCTGAAATATTTCTGCTATGGTGCTACATCTCACTGCCCAGGTACTGGTGGAGGTTTCCCAGAGCAGGCAGCAGCCTTCGTTCACAAGTTTCTTTGAAATATCTGCTAACAGCAGGAAGAGATTTCCCCTTTGTGATTCCCTTTGGCTTGTTCTCATGTCGCCTTTTATTCTTTTTTTCCGCTTTTCTGAGAGTTTCGGTGACAACCTGAGGGAGCAGTTAGCAAAGGCAGGCGTTCCTGTCAGCCTTTTCACACGCGCGCTGCAAAGAGCTGAAGCAGACGCCCCCTCCCCAGGGGCGATTCAGGGCTGCACAAAGCCCCTCTGCCCGCAGGAATTCTCGGGCTGAGCCCTGCATTCCTTAGTGACACCAAGATAAGCAGAGCGCGAGAAGGTGAGGATGGTACCAGGCTGTAAAGTTTAAGAGGTGAATGTTTTTTACTGGCCGTGATCCAAGTGATGGTTAAGAATGAAAATATCTTGAAAAAAAAAAATCTGAAGAAAGGCTTTTAAAGCCAACAAAACTGTTTCACAGGTCTGTCCATAGATCAAGCACAAGCAAGACGTTTTCCTACAGAGAAAGGGGAGAGAATGGAAGAACAAGATTATTTAGCCTGAGGTTTCAGAAAACGATGGGGTGTGTGTGTCTCCCAACCCAGGCTGAAGGCAGTGGTGAAATCCCTTCTGGAATTTGATGTAAGAGCAGCAGGATCCTCTGACATCGGCAATGCTTCACCCTGACCTGGCTTGGGTTTAATTAAGCACCGTGTAGAGAATAGGGTTGCAGCTGAGCTGAGGTGTAAATTTCCTAAAGGTTTGTTTTCATCTAATAACATTCCTGTCCAGGATTTAATCTCTGTATTGCAACACTCCAGGGCAGACGCCCCTGTCCTGCTTGCACTCATTCTGGGAAACCTCTCCCACATCTGGCACTGTGCAATTAATAACGTGGTTTCTGCAGCCCCCTGAGCCCGTGGTCTTAACCCTGTGTATAAATAGGTGTGATGAGCTCATGAGAGCCAAGGGTGATCAGCTTATTGCACAAATTGGGGAGGGTGTGGAACTCCACATTGTGCATTGAGGGAATGTCCGGAGCCTGGCGGGACGTGCTGGGTGACATGGGGTGGGATGAAAGATGACTCCAGGCTGTGGCTGCTGCAGGTGTCAGGCAGGGCAGGTTGGGCAGGCCTCCTCTCAGGTGCTGCCCACCATATCCAGCCTGGAATTGTGGAAGTGCAGGAATGCCCTGGGTCCTGCTTTCCCACTCCAGCCTCTCCAGGAAGGAGTCTTCCCACTGAAACCTCTCCTCTTTGTGGGAAGAGGAGCTGCAGTCACATTCAGCACTCAAAGCAGCTGCAGTTTCCTTTCCCACCTATTCCCCACCTATTGTGGAAAAGCCTTGGAAAGTGAGTGGGGCAAGGAAAAGATAGAGCTGAATGACCCAAGGAAATACGGAGAGAGGGCATCAGCAGGGCATCACTCTCTTAAACCTAAAATGGCAAAGGATAGGGCTTACAGCCAGCCGGGATGAGCTGGCAGAGCCCCTCCTTGCAAAGCAGCAGTGAAGGATTTCGTCGAAAGGCAGTGACACATTGGGTAAGATTGAAGGAGGGGCAGGAAAGAAAATGGAAATATTTGCTAGTTTCTCTGAAATCCCAGCAGACAGCTTGAACTGCAAGTGAACGTGCTTGTTTAGCTACGAAATGAGCAACACGCTGCTAATGAGAGCTATGCTCAGATTTCCCCTGTCTCTGCATTCCTGCGCTCAGGTCACGTAGGCAAGTGGCAGCCACAGGGCCTCCGTGCAGCACTCTGGGACAAGCTCTGCTCCGAGAGTGGAAGCATGGCTCTGCTTCCCAGGGAGCAGCCCACAGGAGTCTGGCAGTGCTGCTTGCCAAATGAGGGGCTGCATGGTCAGGATCCTCACTGCAAAGCCTAAGTGGACAGTGATCTGGAAGGCAGCTGTCTATGGAAGAGGTGCTGGCACTAATTATGAGCATTTAACTCTTCCATGGCACCCTTAGGCAGGCTTTAAATATGGCCGGTGTTTGGCCCTGGGGAGGAAAATACTTGGCTTGTGTCAAGCAGGTGACAAGTGGGTAAATTCTCTTCTGAAGGAAAACTGGCTGGTCCCTCAGCCCATGCAAGAAGTGCTGAGGAGGGAGAAGAACAGAGGGCTGGGAAGTACACTGTAATTTTTTTCTTTTTTCAAAATGTTAAGCCATGGTTTAAACTGCACAAACTCTGAGTGATTCCACTGACGTCCATTGACAGGGGCTGGGGAAAAGCAGAGCACATGGCATGAAAATCAGGGCTCTCAGTTTCCAGTGATGTTTATGGTGAGTGATTCCACTGATGTCCATTGACGGGCTGGGGAAAAGCAGAGCACATGGCATGAAAATCAGGGCTCTCAGTTTCCAGTGATGTTTATGAATTTATGCCGATTTTTGCAGCATCCCTTTATGATATGACAACACCTGCCCATTGTATTTCTTTAGATATGTGAAACAAGTTTTGGTTTGTCCAGCAGTTTCGTGAATTCTCCCGGTTTCACCCTGTCCTTGCTTTACAGGGTAGTATCAAATTTCATTCACTTCGGTGGATGTGTGCGGCTCCTTCCAGCAGGCAGAGCTGCTGGCTTCAGATCTGCTTCCTCAGAGACATCCACAGCTCCTCTGGGAAACCTGTGCCAAGGCCTTTCCACCCTCACATGGAAGAATTTCTCCCCAAATCTGATCCAGCCCTGCCCTCTGGCAGAGGGAAGCCATTTCCCCTTGTCCCATCACTGTGTGTCCTTGACAAAAGTCCCTCTCCAGCTCTCTTGCAGCCCTTCCAGGGGCTCTAAATCTCCCCAGAGCCTTCTCCTCTCCAGGCTGAGCACCCCCATCTCTGAGCCTGTCTCCAGAGCAGAGGGGCTCCAGCCCTCTGGGCACCACTCTCTGCATTTTGCAGCACACATGTGAAATCATTTCTACAGGCTTTTCAGATCCTCACATGAACGGCTTAGTTCAGTGAGATGTCAGTGAAACACAGTAACAGGGACAGAAATAGAAACACACTCAGAGACCTCTTCAGTAGTTTTAGATAGTTCCTAAAGCACATTTTTCAACCAGGTAAGTAACAATGTTCCTCAAAAGATGAACCTTTTGGATCCAGTTTTGCCAAGAGGAATGCTCTGTGTCTTCTCTGGCTTTCAGGGAACCACTTCAGTGGATGAAGGTGGACATGGGTTCCACAT